TCGATTTTGGTTCGAGTTAGCTCGAGGTTCGAGTTAGCGAGGGTTCGATTTATCGGGAGTCGACTGTAGTTTTAATTTTGAATGAACAATCCGCCTGATTTTTGAAGACAGGATTATCCGTTCCAGATAGCCTGTGTACAGCCGCCCCCTCCCCTCGGAAAAAAAACGGAGAAGGGGTGTCTGTGGGGAGGACGCGACTTTAAACAGGCTAGTCTCAGACAGATAATCCATTTCTAGCTCTAGTGAAAACGACCAATAACAAAATTCCCGTGTCCAGTGTTTTTAATCGTAGCGAAGGACTGTAAGGAACGACTGTCTACCGTTGCCTTGTCCGTAGGCCGCATTATTCCGCGCGGCTAATGCGTTTCGGGTCACTTGGTCTGAGTGAGTTCGCCACCGAAATGCTTTGACCGAGATTGCTTGGGAAGGCGCCGTCCAGGGAATAGGCAAGGCAATGTCTACCGTAGCATCAGAGAAAAACAGGGAAATGTTGTTTATCGGCAACGTGTTTTACAAACAAAGACATCTCTGCGTGTTGTTTCACTAGTGTTTCGAGGGCACGAACCCCTGAAAATCGCAAATATTAATCCCTAGCAAGAAGCCACACTTTCGCTATGGAAAAAATTAGTTCCCCAAGAGAGCGCCAGAAATTGAGCCTAAGTCTTGGTTAAGGCGCTTCGCCTTACGTGCGTACGGAGTCACACTAGCCGGGAAATAAGAAACGCAACCATAAGTGAGTTTAGTACCTTCCTTAAAAGTAGCAAATCTAGGGAACACTTTCTTTTACGGTTAACTCTTTTTTACCCTATTTACGGCTAACGGTTAAATTTTTTCCATTTTTACGGCTATCGGCTAAATTTTTGGCCGTTTTACACCAATCGGTTAACCCCATTGAGACACTCGTTAAACGATATGAAACGGCTACTGCCTAAACCTCCGACCGGTTAGCTCTGAGTTGAATTGGTAGAGCGCCGGACTGCTGTGCGGGAGGTCTCGGTTCGAGCCCCAGACCGGACTAACACTCAGGGTCTTAAAATAACTGAGGAGAACATGCTGCCTTTGCAATGACATCTGCAAGTGGTAAGATGTTCCAGTCTTCTCAGATAAGGACGATAAATCGTAGGCCCCGTCTACTGCATCTTCAGTGTTATATGGTCAGCGGGGGACGTTAAAGAACCCACGCACTCGTCGTAAAGAGTAGGGCACGTTCCCGGTGTAGTGCTCTGGCCTTGTTTCACGGGTTGGTGCTTCACATAGGGTTAACCTCATTGCACCTTTCCCCGCTTGGACAGATTTGCCCAAGAAAAAAAAGAGTACAAGACTCTGTTAACAAACTAATTGTGCCGTTCCCCCGAACTAACGTCATGAAGAACAGCTTCAGTTACAGCGGAGCAGTTCTCTGGAACAGCCTGACCTGACGAGAGAAGCTAAATATTTGAGTCACTTAAACGATTGGCTCATCCGAATTTCTGATTTTTTTTTTTAAAGTACTGTGTACACGGCATTCATGAAAAACAGGTCTTAGTTAGGTTAGTTGTAGATAGTTTTGCATATTGTTTAGGCGGTTTATTATTTTTTTTTCTATATATACTCCTGATGAATTTTAACGTGTTTTAAAAAAAGAATTATTCTATTCTACCAAATCTTCCCCCTCCCCATCCCCCCATCCCCCCCCCACCCCACAGCCGTCTCTGACCTAAAGGATCGCGGATTGCAGCCTTCAAAGAAATTACTCGCGCTTGCATCCTACTAATGGTAACTCAACTAAAAATTTCCGAGCCAAAGGAATACACAGACGGTATTTAAAAAAAAACACATACACCCGAACACGTGACCAATCTGGAATGTCTTGAACTGGGGGATTCCCCACCCACTTTCTTACATCATGTCGAAAAAATGTGCTATGTAGGCTTCTTTGATCATGAACACGCGGAAAGGAGGTTTTATGGTCTTGGCTTGTTGAAAGTTCGATGGAAAGTCAAAGTCCTTTGGGTAAGTAAATCTAAGTAAATCTATAAATTGATTTAATACGGTAGTATTTAGCTAGTAGAAAGTATTTCCACATCCCTACACCGATCATTCAACGACAATTCAAGAGGTACAATCTCTTACAACGGGAAGGTAGGTTTTGGACAATAGAATAAAACGTGTCGTAATGTGCTGTGTTATGTCATGGAAGCGTTTATGTATAATGAAATTACTAATTGACTATCGAAGACCAACAAACCAAGAGAGTCATGGTACCTACTGAAATTTATATACTGGCTATTTCGTCTCTCTGCCTACCCGCACCACCCAACGATTTGCTCTTGCATTCATCATCAGTCCGGTTTTGTCGAGATCGCCGTCATAAATAGACTACATTGTTTAATATGCCGTTTTCGTGCCTTGTGAGGGGATCATGGAATGTTAACTTTGACTTTAAACTTAATTATTACTTCAAAACGAAGTCTTATGAATTGTAGAAATAAAATGAAAAAAACATGACAGAAAATTTGCTGTCGTGTCACATTCCACTGCATTGAAGCATGACATCACAGTGTCAAGCGTTATGGCGCCCTAGCTTTCTCAAATACGAAGCTTGAAAAATGCCGTCAAGCGCTTGTTTCATGGAAGTTATATCCTGCATACACTACAATTTTGAAGTCCTACCATGTTCAACGACGCTACAACTTGTCACCATTGTCGAGCTGAATGATATATTTATGCAAAGTCATGTATATGTAGTAGTTAATTTTTATCTCGGGCAATTTTCGTTTTTCTTTTGTTTGTGGGTATGGTAATGTATGCTAATGAAGTTGAAACTAAAGAAAAATCAAAATTACCTGAGATAAAATATTCACTACAACATATTTGTACATAATTAAAGTCATCCTACTGTAATAACACAATGATTCAATTTAAGCGATTACATGTATAAACCAGTTAAAATGAGAGGCAAAAATAAAAGGAACCTACATGGGTACTGTGTAAACAGTCCTAAATATTAATTAAAATAAGCAACTGCACCCATGCATTATTAAGCTGATAAAAGAATTAATTGATTTACTTGTTCATACTTGCTTGAAATTCATTTAAAGCTAGTCATTAAAAAAAAAAAGACTGGGGGCTGGGGATGGGGGAAACAGCATCCCACTTTTGTAGAATAATAAATAACTTTCTTTTATTTTACCATGGTCAACTCATTAGGACTTAAAACACTATTTTTGCACAAAACTTGAATTGATTGGGTTTCCAATAAATCTGCAGTTGGGTTGCCTCCATTTAATTTTGCTTTATGCATCACTGCAACTTCCATTTTTAAAAAAAACATGAGTCTGACTCATTTTTCATTTTAGAGACAACTCAACCAGACATCTTGGCTAGACATGTTCAGACGGTTGGTCTGGTTTGCCCTATGAATTATTTTGTTGTGGTCAATTGTCAGTAGACGTTTTACTAGTAACAATGCCTCCAAAGAGAACAATCCCATCATTTTTTACGGCTTCATCAAAGTGAACCTGTCAACATATTGAAATTAAAACTGCAGCAGGTGAAGGGAAAGTTATAGTGCCTTCTTCCTGTGTAGATATAGAGGACAATCTTGTGACATAGCTGGTTGGATTGGGACATTTCTTTTTTTTATTCGCACTTCCAAATGTCATTTGTCAGTTAAAATTTTGGCCAGTTATGGCAGTTATAGTCAGTCAACCCTATCCAGACCCTCCTAACCCTAGCCCTAACCGCTGCCTATTATTGCTGATTGGAGCAGGGTGCAGGGGGATGGAACGTCCAATTTTATTTTCAGCCCCCCATACTTTTTATTTCACTCCGCAGCCGTTGATTAAATGGGTGTATTATACAATGTAAACCCATGATAGGATAAAGATGAAATAATGATTATATAAATAATATGAAAATCATATATATTGAAACTGAAAAATTAAATGCAAAGAAATTCATTGCAGTTAGTACTTTCCAATATGTATGTGTCTTTAACTGTACTGAAGCCCTTGGTAAAGGATGTAATTCCTTAAGACTGTTCTTTTCTTTTCTTAAAAAGCAAAAATCTCATCCATCCAGTAGATTATTAAAAAGCCCAGGAGGGGAGGGAGGGGGTACTCCCTTATCGACCCTTATATAAGCTACATGGGTATGTGCACCCCAAAGGGTATGGTTTTTGCAATGCTCTTGTCTGAAAATGGGTATAGACTTTGCTCATTTTGGTCTGGAATCGAGTATGCTTTTCAAGGGAGCTCTGTGAGTGTACGAACGCGTTTAATTTGTTTCAATTCCAAATGAGTTAGAGAAAGAGAAATATGCGAATTTGAAATGCATTTAAAGAAATCTTTTTTGTTGCTGTTCTAATCTACGTGCTGTTGAAATAATTTCTTAAAGGCCAGGTCTGAGAATGGTTATGGATTTTAGAGGCCATGCAGGTCTGAAAACGGGTGTGAAAAATGAAATTTTTTGGTCTGAAATAGGGTCTGGATTTGGAGAACCTGTTGGCACACCCCCAGCAAGAATTCTTGGGAGAACCTCACAGGTTCTTAAAAAACAGATATTTTCTAAAAACCTTTCACTGCCTTTGTATACTCTTAGGAAAAGTGCTGATTAATAGTGAAACGTTTCTGGTATGATATTGCCTTAAGTCAATCATGGGTGAGCTGCTTAATAAGCAGGAGCAATAATATTATTTTTGTGGTCAGCTCAGGCAGGTATCTTTCTCTCTGGGATATCGGCCACAGTGCATAATCATAATATGTCTTCATAATATGTCTGAAACATGTCAGTGTTTAATAACAGTTAGGAGTGAACAGGCAAAGACTAGGTATTGGCTTCATATTTTAAAAGGGAAACTGCGTGCTGCAGGTGTTTTTTTTTTTCAGATTTATTGTTATTATCTAGACTGGCAGAATGTGGTTAATTCTTTTTGATTGAAAATCTATTTTTTATTTTGAAGTAAAGAGACTAGTCAATATTTAAGTTTCCATAGATAACACGCTCTCAGACACTTTTCATGTTTAAGTTTATTTACAACTGGCTTTTTTACAACAATCATGTAAGTTTTATAGTTTGATACAAACTAGTTAATTATTAAGCCCATCTTTTAATATGGATTATTTTTATCATGGTGAACAGGTAAACATTAAATAACTTAACGTACCCTGTGGGCATAAGATACTAAGCTATTAATGCTAAACAGAGCCTGGCACTACTCTCTAGTATAATTAAGACACCTTTGTATCAAGCAAGTTTTACTCTAAACAACACTCAAGAACTTAAGAGCACTTTTGCTAGTTAACTTAAACTCGGACTTTTAAGTGCGCTTCAAAACTACAAAATGCAAATTAACTTCAAAAGTATTTTTTTTCCCGTAAAGATTGTTCGTTTTCTTTTCCCTTATTATTGATTGTAATTTACAAGTGATAATTTTGCCATCTTCCAGAATTTTATCCGTTTGGCTTCTTATCGTGTGAGTACAAAAGGTTTGAACTCTTACCATCTCGTACTCTTATATAGGCCTAGACCGGATAACACCAAAGTATAAAGAAACACAGAGAAAATAGCCCATTTATATAAGTGAAGATTCTTCTGAAATCAGCTACTATGTCCAATTCTTGAGTAGAAAAACGCCGAAAATGAGTTCTTGTCCCATTTTTTCCGTGACTACTTCGGAATACTTAATCCGAAGATCTTTCGAAATCTTTGCGTACGGAAACTGATCAACCCATAACCGCGCGAGCCTTCGAAACAGTTCAGTGCATTTTTACTCATAGGTATTTTTTTTCGCGCACAGTTCTTTCATTGACACATTCTGAAAATGAGGGGTGACTATCGTTTTCTGCAAAAATGGCGATTTTGTTTTAGGATAGCTATTATGTGGTTCGTCATGCACCAAATTTCTCGTTAAATAAATTGACCGCTAAGTAATCAAAGAACTGACGAACTGACTTGGTAATAAAGACCTAGATTCCGTTTGCCAAAGCAAACTTCAGAGAGGCTTAAAATATCTTCGCACGATTTTCTGCATACGAAAGCCTATAAATCCCTTGGACATTCGAGCGGTTAATCCAAAATTCGCAAAAATGGTACGGAATGAATCATTGAGTTTTCGTCAGTAAGTATAGTGCGTTAGATTAATATTCGGTGAGGTGAATGCTCAAAAAGCGAGTAGATTGCAGTTCGGTCCTTGCAGAATAATCTATTTTCAGGTCAAACTAATTTGACTCACATAGAACAATGTAAAACGGATCAAAACTTTACTTTAAGTTACACCCAACGTTCAAAAGGTGTGATTTGATCACTTGTCGTCGACTTCAGTCCAAACAAGAAAATAAACAGGATTTTTCCTGATTGAGAATCAGTACGGTTAGTAAAATGCTCATGGAAACGGCTCTGCGAAGATTCGGGAAAATGACAGAAAAATGATTGTTTATTTAAGGACAGATGACTGTGGCAGAGATTCCAACTCCGTCCACTAAAAAAGGAAGCTTTAAGGAGCGGAGCGCTCCCATGTGCATTGAAGATGCGAGCCTCTAGGGGGTCCGGGGGTATGCCAGTGCAGTGCCTCTTAGATGCCATTTCCAGCATTTTGAGATCGAAAATTATCGCAGGCTCATGCTCGGATGCCAAAAGGTATAAAAAGTGGCTGAGTTCCACAGAAAAACGGCAAAGAATCGTGCTAAAAAGACTGGCTAAGTAAAGAAAACATTAATCTTCTTTGGCTAGAAAAACTTTTAAAAATCCGGAGAATATTATGCGCAAAGTGGAGGACGGAAATATTCGCCGAAAACGGAAGGTTTGCGGCCAAGACAGGAGGGTTGGAATCTCTGCTGTGGAAAACTGAGGCAAGGAGACTAATAGGCTTTCATCCTCCAAAACGTTTGTGTCAAGAACAGCTAGTGCAACCTCGTGGCCCGGGTTCTCTCACGCTCGAAAGAGACGGGTAGGAGAGAACCCTGGGAACGAGGTTGTGGCTGGTGGTTATTGAATGAGGCACTAACTAAAGGCTACGTTGACACGGCGCAGGTGCACATGGAACCACCTTAACCGTACGAAAATTTAGACGTCTCCGAGCCGCCTAAAGTTCCGTGTGAACAGTGCGAAAATATTGAACGATTTCGTGTTAACGAAGTGGCGAGCCAAATTTTAGCTCCTAAGACGTTAATGGATCAGTAGTAAAAGCGTCTCTCAGCCTTCGGACAATTTGAACGTTTTCTACAGAACTGACTTGGCGAAGGGAAGGGGGAGGGGGGGGCGGGGGGAGACCCTCTGTTGAACAGAATAAATGAGGGAAAGTATGGAACTTCAACAGAACCCAGTGCCTTAACCTGATTTGTATAGCTAGCAAATCGTGTGGACTAATAACAACAATAACAGCGAAAAACTGTAGAATTCTTAAATCCATTTTAGAGCGATTTTCGTATGACCTTGGAAAATGGTTTCGGTATTACTCGGCAAGTGTTCGTTATTTGTTTTATCAGCCAATGGACGAAAAGATCAAAACCGCCAAAGAAAACTCTAATATGGAGAAGGCATTTTTCGATTGGCAAGTCGTGTTGCAGTATGACGTCAAAGCGAAGTATCGATTGATCTGTAGAAAGTTCTCGGGCATGAAGTTTTTTCTCCCTAAGCGTTCGCTTAACCAACCACAAGTCACGCACGTTTGTATCCGTTCGATAACCATGCAATCATATCGCTCTATTTCCGTTCGTTTGTTGTTTCTGTTTTGTTCGCGCGTTTTCATTTCAAGGTAATATCGAGTCATACGAAAATCGCTCTAATTATCCGGGCTGTCAGTGGTCGATTCAGTGCCGTTTAAGACGGGACTTATGAGGAATGCACCAAAATAGCTGGTCTCCCTTTGCATAAAATAGGACTTGGTGAATGGAATCCGCACTGATATTTTGTCTCCTTTACTGAGGAGAAAAACAGCCCCTTGGTAATTCGTGTTGTATTTCTTTGTCTCGCTTACAACGCTACTGATACTGCGCATGACAGGCTGCTCATTGATGTATGTGTAATGACCCATGAAGAGCGTGTCCCCAGCGTAATAGAACAGTTGGCTGTATATGAAGTAGTAACCAGGAGTGCCAATCACGAGAAAACTGTTGCTGAGGAATCTTATATTCCCGGTTTTGTGGCCCAGTCTCCAGTTCGTGATGCGATGAACTATAAGAGAAGCAAAGAGATGTTAGTAACAGAGTTGATCGGCATAAAAAATGTGGCTAGTTTGCACGTGACGTCATGACGAAATCGCCGGTGGTTAAGGACAAGAACGTTTCATTCTGCTAGGAACTAAACTCCGTTTTCATGTACATTCGCTCGGTCGCCTTGCCTTACAGCCACTCGACAAGGCGTGGTTTTGGTTTAGTTCAACTGCGGTTTTTCCCCACACATTTCGGTGGTTTCACGAACACACAGAGGACTTTAAACATTTGTGAATTGAGCGCTGATTCTCCAATGTTAACCGGTGACCTAACTTGCAAAAAACGTACATCATAAGGGTTTACACGATTCTTCTTGTTAATATATGAGTAGGTAAAAATAAGTCAGGTATATTTTAAGACCTTCCTCTCTTTAAGAAGTCACGTGACCCATGATAAAACAAATTAATTAAAAAGTATTTAATAGTAGTGAAGGAAAGAACACTAAAGAAGTGAAAGGTGGAACAGTAAAGAAAAAAAGCACCAAAAAGACATTCGGTCATTCAAAACATTCGGTAGTGATCATGTGATCATATTGATGACAGAAAAACTGTAGTCGCGTCACGTGTTTGTATCGCGTTTAAACGTTACAAAATTATTGTTTTTTTAAGAAGAAGCGAGATCGTAAAGTTATACGTATGTATAATAATCAAGAATAATAACACTAACATTTTGTTCTACCTGTGGGTGGATTGATATGATCGCCATAACCAACAATATGAGCTGAATCTCTTAACTGAAATGAAATGACATGAAATATGTAGGATAACTCGAGAATAGCCTGCGAGCCAGCTCTTTATTCCGAATGGCGAGAAAAGTGACCTTTGAGAGAACCGCGCCTTCTTTAGCCTCCCACGCCTTAGGATCGTGTGACGTATCCCTAAGGCTACGCCTCCTTCGGCCCGTGTGCCACTCGCGCGTGACTTCTCGCAAGATCCCCCCGCAAATGAAAAGCCTCCTCGCAGGGGAACAATAAAATCCCGTAAAATTCCGAAAATAATCCCCTCCATGTATAAGCCCCTCCAAATATAAGCCCCCCAAGCCGGTAACGCAAAAAACCCTCCGTCAAATCGCCCTTCCAAATATAAGCCCCCCAGGGGCTTGTACTTGGAAAATTGCCCTCAAATACAAAGTAAAACAAAGCAAAAACGGTAAATTTACTTCCAACAATAAGGCTAGCCCAATCGATTTTGAGACGCAAATTTCCCTCCGTAGATAAGCCCCTCCGAATATAAGCCCTCAAAAAGGGTCTTTGTTTTATCTAAGACAAATCCATACACATTTTAATTTTTTTTAAAAATAACAAAAGAGTACAGCAAAGAGAAAAGCAAATTGTAGAGATTTCCCGACATTTCGGACGGACAAGCCCTCTTTCGTCCGAACTAACGGGAAACCTCGAGTCGCTTTTCTCTTTGCTGCTTTGTTATTAATGTCTACGAAATACAGCCTGTTTGTTTAGGCTCCAGAATTCAGGTTGATCGTTTGTTGAGGAAATACTGAGCCCATCATTTGTGAAAAAAAAAAATAGATGCTGTAAAACACTTACTCCCACTGCTATGCCTGATAAACCTGCCAAAGAGAAAAAGAAAAGGGAACGAAATTTAGACCTTCTTGCCTCAAGAAGATGGCGTATTTCGTAAATCCGGCTCTCGTACTGTATTTTAAAGCTGGCGCCTGATTGGTCTTCGGTCTTTCTGACACTTTAATAAAAAGGAGAAAAAAAAATGGGAAAAAAGTGAGGGGAGTTCATAGGCAAACTTTCAATCAACCTTGATAATATTTTTCTTTCAGCTTAAATGGATGCTATGGGATATCTCAGCGACCATGTAAATGGCCAAAGATCATAGTCATGTAGAAATGACTGAGAACGACCTCTTTTGTTTTGGTTTATGTAGATGTAGCCATACCTGGTGGTCCAGGAGGTCCTTGGTCACCTGAAGGTCAATGGCAGAGTATAAGGTTAGTAATCATTTACACGTATTTGAAAACGTTCTATAAACATGTCATCCACTGTGCTTTGGTCTTTGCTGCGTAGTGTTGTGCAGTTCGTCCAAAGCGACCACTGATCTGACATCTTGTATATACAACGGCACTATCAAGAAACGTTGTAAATAACTCATGGACATGAGGGGTTAAAAGAAATACAGAGTATATAAACGAAGGATGAGAAATGCCTCCAGGGAATATAACTCGGGAATACTTGATTTCTCCAAAAATTAACAGGGTTAGGCAGTGTGTTGGAGAAATAATGGAGACACGATGGCTATTTCTGAAAACGAGAACAGGAATGGCGGGACATTTTTAATATCTTAAATTATGGAAAAAGAGGGTTTTGTAACAGGAATAAGGGTTTATTTAAATCAGTATATTTTTGTTACATGCAACATCATCATGTCAGCCATGGATATCCTACCCTTTTCTCCCCTCTCTCCTTGTTTTCCGTCTTTTCCGGGCCGACCTTGATCTCCTTTATCACCTCTTACACCTGGAAAAAACAAGAAATTGTTTAAAGTTCAGAGGTTCACCAATTCTCCTCCTCGTGCCTCGTGGCATCTAGCGCCTCCGTCCATCGTCCTCTGGTACGGTTTTTCAAACTAGCGCGTTGTAAGCGTGGTTCCACTACGTAGACGAACCAACAATAGCTTACACTAACAAATCAAAAAGCTGTGAATGCAGAGGTCGACTCAACGCGTAAATAAAACCGACTGATTCTTTCTTGCCGGATCTCTAATGTAGAGATGCTAATGTCAGACATCACTTGAAGCGGGAATTACAACAAAACTGAAAAAATGCAAGGCTGATGTATTGCAAACCTTGCATTCAGTTTTGTTTTAACTGACGTATCAAATTGTCCTTTTCCCGATATTTTCTTGAGGGAGAGGGAGGGGGCTGCTACATACTGAGGCTAGCCCTCAAGGGTATCGGATTGTACCTCGCGTAGTCAATCGATAAACCTATAAACGATAAAAATCGTTAATTTTTGAATCTTCAATTAATATCAATTTCCGATATCAATCTATTGAAATCAACAAAGAAATAAGTTGTGACTTCTATTAGTATCCCTTCCTGATATCAATCGATAACATTCCTCGAATGATATTGATATACTATTGATATTACCATTGATATACTATTGATATTACCATTGATATACTATCAATTACTATTTATTGGCTACGCCTGGATAATAACAAGCAGTCTAACCTGGTCTTCCTTTTCTTCCCCTTGCTCCTAAAGAAAAAAATTAGAATATATTATATATCCAACCAGTTTTCTATGCCTTATACGAGGCGGTGCCATATTCTTACAACATTAGGGACCTTACGATCCAACAACGGCGACGTCCATGCAAACGTCGCTGAAAAACAGACTTCGCATCATTTTAAACTTTCTCGCGATTATCCCATTACCTCCTGTTACTTAAAAGAAGGGGATTTTGGCTGGAGCTGAAGAGAGGGGAACGCGCTCAAGTTTGGACAGCAGATAGTAGAGTTTATCGCCTTACCGTTCCCGTTCCCAAGTAAACTTAAAATTTGGTCTTTTCACGTCGTAGTTGTGCAGTGACGGCAAAGAAATGTACCAAAAAGCGTGATGCACGTGCGGAGTTGTTGTTTTGCTAATTAAACCTATTGTTTTTTGACGTTCCCGTTGCCGTCGCTGTCGTGGTTTCGTAAGGTCCCTATTAATTCGAGGAAGACGGTGAGATGATTTACCTTTTGGGCCTTGCTCTCCTTTGGGACCTGAATTAGAAAAAAAATTCTCAGCACCAGAACAGGCGTTTTCTATCAGGCGAAAGGCTTTTCTCTATTTTCAGAAAACCTTGCAGCATGCATCTAGTTATATTTCGTTAACATTCTTGCTAGAAACCCACTGGAGTCGAACGGGCAGGCTAGGCTTCGGCGAGATTGAGATGGACTAACGAACTGAGAGGGAATTGCAGTCTAGGGGAGGCGAGGGATGTATCCGTTAAACCATTAAAGGAGGAGAATTTTTTATATAGCGAGAAAAACAAACAACAACAACAAAAAACGAAAACATTAATTTATTT